ATTCCCAGATTTGCTGTGGCTGCCCCTGGATCCCTGGCAGTGCCCAAGGCCAGGCTGGACACTGGGACAGTGGGAGGTGTCCCTGCCATGGCAGGGGTGGGATGGATGAGGTTTAAGGTCCTTCCAAGCCCAGAGCAGTCTGGAATTAAGGATTTAGAAAACCCAGGGGTGGTTTCCCCTGCTGGTAACAGCAGGACAGGTTGGATTTCCCAACAGGAACATAACACCAGGCACCTGCAGGTCATGGAATGCTGCAATTCTGTCTTTTCTTATTTCTTGGAAAAATCCTTTGTGACAGTAGATATTTGTAGAATCCCAAACTGGTCTGGATTGGGAGGGACCTTAAACCCCATCCCATTCCACCCCCTGCCATGGTAGGGACACTTTCCATAGACCAGATTGCTCCAAGAATCCTTTTTTGGGAAGTTTGTGGCTTTTTAGCAGTTCCAGGGTGGTACTGAAGCCCTCCTTGGATGTTGGGTTGGTTGGACTGAGCTAAGTCTCTTGTCTTGCAGGTTTTAGAGCAATTTATACTGTTTTTTTTGGAAAACATTTGCTGGTAATATTTCATTTTAACTGCTTTCAGTACCAGGTGATGGTATTTGGTTGTTAGGTTAAATTTCTTTTAGAAACTGCCTGAGTCATGAAAATTTAAGATCCTGTAGGTGTTCATTCAAAAGATTTAAAAATAAGATACCATAGGCAAGTATTTTAGGTTTATTATTGTTAACTGCTTTTGGGGTGTATTTTCTCACTGTAGACATGTTTAACTTCTTTTTTCTTTCCATATTTGCAGCTGTGATTGGTCCACCAGGACTGGAATTGCAATCCACAAATGGAATTGTAAAAGTTAAGGTTTTTCCTCCAGAAGCAAATCAGAGGAAAAAAATGTGGATCAATGATCTGAGTTTTAAATATAACCTGGTCTTCTGGGAAAACTCATCACATGCTCAGGTATGAGCACTTCTTTTTTGTAATTTAACCTTAGCAGAGCTGTCAGAGATGGACTTTAACTCATGCTGTGAAATGGAATTGTTTGGTTCTGTCACTGAGTAGCTGCTCCTGTGTGGTTTCAGAGCTGGAGGAGGTGGGTGTTTCTTGGTGGGACGATTTTGTTCTTGCTGTTGGATTGTTTTATTGGAATTGCCTTGATCCAGGGATTTGTTTTGAGGTGTTGTCATTGTGAACTGCTTTCCAAGGCATTATGTGTGTCCTGCAGAGCACCCAGAGCTCTCCTGTGAAGAGCAGGGCAGAAATTCTTCCTTTTTTATCTCTTGTAGGGAAATGGGTGTCGTCTAAATTAGGGCAGGAATTGAAGGGCAATCAGAGTTCTTTTGGGAGATCAGATCAAAATCATCACTTCAGAAAGGACCTGGAGGGGCTGGAAAGTGTCCAGGGAAGGGAACAGAGCTGGGAAAGGGCTGGAGAATTCCTGAGGGAAATGGGAAAGGA